ACATTTTAAATCATATTCTACAATGCAAATTCTATATGACTATTGGTACTCCTGTAGTATGGGAACCAAGATGGCGAACACCGGAACAGAGTATGTGTACCAGGTTAGGGTCAGGACATAGTTTCAGGTACGAATACTACGGGAGTCACTTGGCTAGTCACCGAACTTGTAGTAGAACTAAAATAAAGGAAATTGAAATGAAAGTAGGGCCTAACCTGGTACACATACTACATCCCGGTGTCCGTCATATTGGTTCACATAATTCTGGAGCGCCGAATAAATAGGTAATCATGTTGGTCAAGTCAGTTTTTCAGATGAACCAGTTTTCAGGTCGCGGCGAGAAACAGTGCTATTAACCCACATAGTCCTAAATATCCATTCTGAAATGTTGGTAAGCCCTTCTGAAGCATTTGTTTGAATTTTTACCCCTCGATTTTTAATGTTCCCTATAACTGTGTTTAATTTTCTGATAAAAAATGAGACATACGTTTGAGAGAAATTTGAATTGTCTTCTGAATACCTATGACAAATTCTACATGGCATTTTATAACTGATTTATTTAGCTTTAAATTGCAGAGTCATTAGTTAGAAATATCAGTAAAATGCCTCTCGAAATTAAAGTGAAGACTAATGGACATGCAAATAGGATTTTACAAGACTTGAACAGGTGAGTGTTCTTCAGGGATGCCTAAAACAATGTGGTTAAAGCTATGTTTCCAATCGTGAATGAAATATTTTCTATGGAGGAGGGGTATTGTCATTTTTATGGGGAAATTATTCACATTATTAACAGTGTTCACTCTAAGAAAATATTACGATGCGCAATTGTTAGTTTTAGTGAACATGAATATTTTAAGGCTGAGCAAAGTTTGTGAAATATTACAACAACTCAATGCTATTACATTGCGAATAATGTACGTACACATTTAGCGGCGCTAAATCCCTTGTGTACACTCTGAAAACAGATATTGCCGACAATAACTTGTCAGTTATGACCATGCATGATATGGCTATTCACATGCCATCGGCATTAGGAGAGATCCCTTTTTATCGCAAAATGAAGGCAAGAGAAATATCAGGAAACTTTAGGTGCCGCCGCTTGCCCGATAAAAAAACGATGTGCAAAACAAAAGATGGTCGTGAGGATATGCTTTATGTAGCTAATTTTAGCATTTCGCAAATTAGCCAAAAAAACGATTCGAATATTTTGCGATCCGATTCGATTTCGAATATTCGGTTTGCTTGGACAGCCCTACCCATGATTTTACTCAGAGATGAGTCTTCTTTACATCTGAGTGAGAGTGCCTGTGACTTTACTCAGAGATGAGTCTCCTTTACTTCTGAGTGAGTGCTAGTAACTTTACTCAAAGATGAGTCTACTTTCTGAGTGAGTGTCACGAACTTTACGAACTCAGAGATGATTCCTGGGTTAAGTGATGGGTGCAAGGTTTAACAGTGTTTACTCTAACAAAATTATAAGTGTATGGGATTCTCATAAGCCAGAAATTAAAATAAGTCAAAACTTTCCATTAAATGAAAAGCTTGAATTGTACTAACTGAAAGATAGAAAGCTCGCATGCGCAAGTTTTTGTTATGAAAACTGATTTTTTGTTTGGAGCTAGAGTCAGTTGTAAATTGACATGATACGTGGGTACGTGGATTTAAGTGTTCACCTTAAGAAGATTAGGGGTGCATGCTTTCCTCACTAGCTAAAAAATGAACTGCAAAATCTGGTTTCTGGTGTTCACTAAATAATGAGTATGTATTAGGGATGGGACGAGTCCGGCATTACAGAGATTCGACGAATCCGAGTAATAGGTCAAGGAATCGAATCCTCCGAGTCCGTGAGTGAGTAGAAAACTCGTTTTTGACCATACTACAGCATTGTGCGCTCACAAACATACGTCGTAGCTCATATTTTTTGCCTAATGGTTTCGCAGATAGCTGTTGAATCAATTTAAAAATATATTTTTCTTCTTTTTTGGCGGCCATAATACAAACGTAAACGTGGGTCAACAGGCGCCTTGCCTGTGGACTGAATTTCCAGCCCACCCCACTGCGTCAATTCTGGTCGGCTATTTAGAAATTCTTACATGTCCAATATGAAAAGTAAGAAGCTTTTGACTACAATGCTTTCCCGTAATTCCAGATATTTCTAGCCTTAAATATACTATGTCGCGTACACAAATTGTAGAAAGATGCCACTTGTGGTCAATACAATGCTTACAATTTAGTAGTTCATGTAAACGTTCTAAAACGCTCCATGCTTTCCATTGCTCCCTTTATAGAGAAAGGATTGCACGTGATAAACTCGATTTAAAAGAGGTATTAATGAGATTCTCCATTGGGTTGATCCTGCGCATGTTTCATATTTATTTACGCGAATCGAAAACTCAAAAATATTGCGCTAACACATGTTTTATTGTGTACCACATGTATACCAAAAAGAATAGATAGTTTGAAGGCGACTGGTGCATCATTGTTATAAGCTATCAACTGTTTTTAACTTGCGTTATATTATCTAGATATTTGTCGTCTTTTTATTAGGAGTGTTTATAATACACACGAGTGATATTGTTACATATCTAAACTTGAATTTCAACTATTTAAGGCATGTAGTGAGATTCATAGGGGTAAAAGTACAAACATAGGCGTAAATTAGTAAAAACAAAATTGATTATAACTTCGGTAAAAACGACGTGGACTCGAAATCGAATCCGAGTCCAAAAAATGCCTGGATTTGACTCAAATCCGAATCTCGGCCCATCCATAGTATGTATGTGCATCGCAAATTAGGGAAAATTAAAAAAAAAAATTGTTTTTAGTGTTCACTCTGAAAAAATTACGAGTGTACGTACCCCTCAAACCCAAAAAACAAACTCAAATTCTGGTATTTCCACTGGAATTTCATGTGCAGAATAGCTCGCACCATTCTGATGTAAAATATATTTTTGCAGAAGCAGAAAGGAAACTCGAGATCATTGTGATTTCATGATCATAGCTGGCTCTGAAGAAATCCCAGTTCATAAGAATATTATATCTGTAGGATCTGATTATTCAGAGCAATGCTGGCTCATAATGTGAGTTTATATTTGCTTGTTGTTTATGTGATATCTCAACCATTTACTGATTTGTTAGGCATTGTAAACACTGATTGTTCTGAGCAAGGTTGCAAAGTTCCAAATTCTTTGGTATGTCAGGATTTTTCGCCTACCAATCATGTAACTGATTGCAGCTTGCTTTCAATCATAGAATAAGAATTTACATATTTATCCCGGGGGATTCGAACCTACGCAGAGTAATCAGAGGTGGCTAGCCTATTCTAACGCTTAACAAAATGAGCAACACTGCCCCACCATATATAGCGCGGCGGTGTGGCTCATCGTCTAAGCGTTAAGAAAGCGCTCGCCACAGCATCTCTGATTACTCTGCGCGGGTCGCAAGTTCGAATCCCATGCGGTATGGTTATGTGTGAGAGGATAGCTTGGCTCCCACTGCGTGGGTTGGTTCACGTAACCACTGGTCGGTTAGGGCTTCCGAAAATAAATAACTAACTAGTCTCATACCCAACAAAGAATGGTAACCATACCGGATGCCGTTGTTCGCCATATGGTTAAGCCGCCTTATCGCCTTCCCTCTCTCCCGGGATGAATTTGTAAAATACCATCCTGTATAGAACAGGATATTCATTTGGGAGAGGATACCTGGCCACACTGTATCATATGGCACAGGGTTTTGTTCAGTTGCCAGTTCATGCTGGGTATTGGAATAGTTTGGTCCATTGAGATACATTGGCTTGTTGGTGAAGGGAGTTGTAAGTGACCAATGGTTACGAGAAACAACTTACAGAGACGGACAGTTTATTCTATTTCCCGTAGTGTTTATCATGCGAAAATCTGAGTGTGATCAGAGGCGCTATTGTAGGCGTGTTCCCAATGCTGAGTGTGTGTATTCAATGCTCAATTGCAAATTGAAGCCAACTAAACCGGTGTCGGACCTGCACGGTAAAGGAGTAATTTGGACTTGGTGCTGTTATTGCCTCACTCAACAGACAACTCATCAGATTCAGTGTATGAAATAATTATTACCCTTCAATTATATTTTTAACAAATTAAAATAAAAAATAGCCCGCTTTATCCTTGTTAAAGTTGAATTTGCCAACTAATCAGTCTGTCATGGCAGACAATCCTGTTTGATAATATTTTTCTCAAAACATCTTATGTATTATCACACTTCAGAATGCTGAGACAGCGTCTGGTAAAGTGGAAATGAAAGAAGTTGATCCATTATCCCTGCAACAATGCATAGAATACATTTACACTGGTGAATTATCTACTACTGATGAAAATGCTGAATCTTTGATGTATGTGGCTGAATTACTACAGTTGAAAGGTGATGATATAAAAATCTTTCTTCTAGATTCTACCAAGATTCACTCAATATTCTGTGATTCAAATTAACTAGACAATCTCCCCTCAAATGGAACTATTTGGTTTGCATGGTCCCGAATTTCTATAGTTATCCTGGCTAGTTTCTCTGAAATAGAAAACCTGTTGGCTGCTGATTTTATTCAGGTTTTCAATTAATCTGCTATGTCATCACTTCTTAAGTTTCACTCCAAATCAAACATGATGACCGCCCCCCAAAAAACGAATACATAAATTACTTTCACGAAAGTTAAAAATTTATTTCAACACTCGACTTCTATCTATGATCCTATCCAGAAGTTTCAGTAGTCTAGGACGCTTTGCACAACAGTTATTTGCACTCTAACTCTAGAATATGTCCCGAATGTCCTGGGTTCTGTTTTTTGGCCACTTTGTATCACTCTACATTGCAAGTAGAGGTTACAGAATAATAAAATTTATGTATGAAGTGTTGTGGGGGCAAATCGAAATAGATGTTTGATTGCCCACGGATGAAAGTTTATTAGTTACATACAATACACCATGTTTGTTTTCTGATAACAGATGTCTGTGAAGGAATTGTTGATTCACTTGAAGAAAATCTTGAATCATCTGCAGAATCATTTTTTGTGACAAAAAGAATCGCAAACCTGTACAATTACAAAGAATTGATGGGAAAATGCGAGAAGTTCATGCTAGATAAATTTGAAGAAATTGCGGTTCTTGATGAGTTCAAGGCAATAGAGGAAATAGAGTTTCTTAGATTGATCAAGTCACAAGAGAACAAAGTATTTTTAGTGTTTCATTAGGTTTGTTCCACAAATCATTTCGTTGAGATAAGGTTTTAGGTTTATACTGATCAAAGTAAATTTTCCTTGGTAAATTTCCCAAGTCGCCAACTGTATTTCTATCTCATTTCTCACTCCGGTGAGGACGATATGATCGGAATGAACAAATAAGTTCTCACCCTTCAATTTCTGGTTCAGCCTGCTAACCAATTGCTTTTTTATCCAATCAATATTCAAGCTAGAAATTTAAGCTTCCTAATGTCTTAGATTACAGCATAAATCCTAAGTGTTTTTTCTGTAAATTAATAGATACAGGTGAATTTTAATGTTTGACATATTCTGTATTCCTTCCAGGCATCAGAGAGTGTCAAGCTAAAAGGTTTGATATCTTGGATAAAATATGAGCAAAGAAATCGCAAAAAACTTCTGAAAAAATTGGACAACTACGTTGATTTGCATAAAGTACCAGTGACTTATAGAAGATTCCTCGTTGAAAACGAGGTCGGGTATTTTTCAAATTGATGATATTTTGAAACTATTTATTTTTGCAACATGTTAATGATTGTAAATATGTTATTTGGATTTAATCTGACTAATAAACGGGGCCTTGGGATAGGAGTTTGGAATATTTTATTACCCTGTATTTCAAACTGAAAGCCAGAGCAACCAAAAAAATCTCGCATGTGCCAAAGATTCTTTTTTGTATAAATTTGGTTTTCTCAAAGTTCGGAGCTTGAGTGTTTCAAGTTCTTCAACCTAGGGCCGCGGTAAACTATTCCCAAACCTACTATTCCCGCGGCATAAATTTCCTTCTCCTGCATCATTTAGTATTCATTATTTACACATAACATACTGTACTTTGTTTGTTTCAGCTAATGGTAAAGTCTTGTCCTGAATGCTCTCACACTCTACTCATATCTGTGATGGACAGCTTAAACGTTGGTGCTTCGGATGTTCACTCTGCTGAGAATATAAAACAAGAAGGAAAAGAAGCCAGTAAGTTGAATTAAGATGTAGAAAATATAGAATACCATTTGTCATCTGAAACTCAGAAACTTACTCATTTGGGGATAGGTTCTGGTTCGAACGATGTTATTTTTGCTTTTCCTTTCTGATACCAACTTTATTTTTTACAGTTACGGTGTTTGATTGTAATTCAAAGAGCCTACAATGCTTTGATCCTCGGAATAATGCTTGGACAAAAATGTGGGTTAGTATTTGACAACCTTCAACTCTTGTATCTCTGTCTAATCGTACTGTACACAGAAATATCATTCATTAGTTCCCAATATTATTTCAGATGGTAAAAAGTAATGCTCAAAGCTTGTGTTTTTATGCGATTGGATTTCAAGATATGGTTGTGGTAGTTCCACATATTGTATTAATGCGTTACTTATTTTATTTGACTGTGCTTGGCCATCTTATCAGCTTTGATTTTCCCTTTTTTGGGATAAATTTAAAGTCAGATACCTGACTTGTACGTATGTGATATAGGATTTACATATTTATCCCAAGGAAGAGGAAAGCCGATAAGACGGCTTAATCATATGGCTAACCATGGCGCCTTGTCCGTTTACCGGTCCATGTCGGGCATGGGATTAGTTTTTTGCAAGCATTGACTGGATGGTGGAGGAAGCCGTAACCGACCAGTGGTAACGTGAACCACCCTACATCGGCCATGATTCCTCCTGCACATAACCATCCAGTCATGGATTTTTAACCTGCGAACCCATGCAGGGTAATCAAAGATGAGGTGGAGAGCGTATTCCTAACGCTTGGCATGAAGTGCCATCTGTGGACAAGGCCTTTTTAGGACGAACATTTGAATGGGATTAGATTCTCTCATCCCGCCACACCCATTCATCTGTATCTACATTTGACAACGATTTCTTCAATACAATATTGTTTATTGAAATTTTCCAGAACACGCCTGGATCAGGAGATTATTTTTCTGCTGTGGCTCTTGGTGACTACATTTATGTTCTCATGGGAGATCGATCTGTTCATCGACTGAAATACTCAGATCATGAAGCTACTTGGGAGAGAATGAAAGATATGATGTATAACCATGGAGCTTGTCCTCCTGTTGCTGTTTTACCTGGTGAGAATTGCTTCAAAATTTCGTCTAACAATATCTTGCTACCTCTAACCCAGACTAGTAATTGAGTTTTTAAATATCCTGTTGCTGTTTTATTAGGTGAGAAGTTACCTCAAGAATTCTTAGTACTGGTCTGTTTAAGGATTTATCGAAAAACATATTTTAATAGCATTTGGTATCTAATTCCAGTTCAGCCGTGTATTGTAACTATATCACTTCATTGTGGGTGACCCAAAATTCTTCTGAACGATTTGTGCACAAAATACTGATATTTTTTTCTGGTTCGTAAAACTTGTCACTTAATGAAAGTGTACAAACACAAATTATATTTTCATATTAACACCATTGAAGAATTATAACACAATCTATCTGTGTAAGAAATCGTTGTGGTTTCATAAGATTTCAGTTCAGGCAAAACAAGGGTAAATGCCAAGAAAAAAATTGCCAAAATAATTAGGATAAAGTTACTTTGTTAAAACACGCAGATCCGGAAGTGAAAAGACTTGAGTCTGTTATACAATACACTAACACTCCTGTTTTTTATTTGTGTTTGTATATATCCCATGAAAACTTTTATTTTTGGGTAATGTTTTGTCTTCCATTTCTATTGTCTTATCTATTATTATGATATGGTTTATATTTGTATAAATACCACGAGTAACGTTTGGTTTGCCTTAAGACAAATAGTTCTTTGCTTTATATTTTATTGTGTTTCGAGTATCATTTGCTTTCTACCATATGTCTTAGATGTGAATTGTTTACAGGAAACCTCTACATTGTTGGTTCTTCCAATTACTCAAAATCAGTTGAAATGTTCGAGCCATCAAGCAACAAATGGGAAAAAGTAAAAGACAAAAATCTCAACAATGCAAATTCAACAGCACTGGGTGCTAGAGGTTAGAAGGTGTTGTCTGATAAATAAATGGGTACTCCCGAAGTATGTGAACCAAGATGGCGGACACTGGAACGTAGTATGTATACCTGGTTAGGGTTAGGCCATAATTTCATGTACAAATACTTGGCCTGTCCCCGAACTCGTAAGAGAACTAAAATAAGGAAAATTGGAATACATTAGAGCTTAACCATAACCTGGTACACATACAAAGTTCCGGTGTCCGCCATCATAGTTCACATACTTCATGAGCGCCAATAAATGTCATTTACGTTGAACTGGATCGAATCAGGCAGTCACATAATAGAGTAATAAATGGAATTGTCGGTGGGCCATATAAACAACTTCAGAAAATTAGCTGGACCGATAAATGCTCTGCTTTACAGTAATAAGAGCATCGGACAAAACGGTGAAGTATTTAACACATCAAAAAGAGCATAAAAGCATGTAATTTTACCCATGTGGGTGACTATTTAAACATATACTGTCGGATTCAACAGCACTGGGTGCTAGAGATTAGAAGTTGCGTTGAAGTGGCTCGAAACAGGCAGTCATACAATAGGGTAATAACTGGAATTGTCGCTGGGCCATATAACCAACTTCTCTGCTTCACAGTAATAGAGGCACCGGTCATAACAGCGAAGTATTTAACGCATCAAAAAGGGCATAAAAACATGTAATTTCGCTGATGTGAGCGGCTTTTTAAACATATACTGTCGGATCACCTCTTGATGGGGAAAAATCTGAGTGTTGACAAGGGCCACACTAGATAGCTTTGCGGGCACTAAATAGCTTTGCCTGTTGCAAACCACTGGTCTGAGCCAAACAAGAAAAAATACCGTTTTTAACAGACCAGTAGGTCGTTTCGTATCAGTGGTTGCTTTCACAAAGTGTTTTTTTGAAGCAAACTTGCAATACACTCACGGCAAATAAAAAATTGACTTCCAACAGATATCGGATTTATCAGTTTGTCCTAAGTTTTCATCGAATACCAGAATGCAGAAAACACTTGAAAGTAATAATCCTTGTTTAATTCCAGGTTGTATATACAGCATTGGTGGCTATGTATCAGGCTGTTACACCAACCAAGTAGAAAGATTTGACCCAACATCATCAACTTGGTCATTTGTTGCATCCATGAATGAAGCAAAGGGATGGGTCGCAGCTGTTGAAAATGAAGGAAAAATATATGTTCTAGGTAGGTTTGTTGCTAAAAATGTACGAACCTCGAGAAAAAAATATTTAGTTTTACTTAAAATAGCAATTAAACCGAATATTTCAATGACCGTGTTTCAGAGTATCAAATGCAATGCCATTATGTTTAAGCATCGTCATGAACTACTAATATTCCAATCATTTTCTTCTGCAAGATCGCAGAATTATATTGGTATGTGGCAAATCATGTTCAAATGTTTGTATACATATATATTTACACGAATGCAAAGGTCAATCCGATAGCCGTGTAAACTGTAAACTCATAAATACTTATGGTACTGTTGCGTACTTCTTACTAGAAATATTAACTAGTTAGGGTAGGAATTCGGAGTGATATTCTGACATTCATACCAGGTTCCAAAATCTTCAGTTCAGGCTAGTTAAATTTTCCGCATTATATTTATCACCTTGCAGTTGTTACCTGCCATCATGTTAGTTCACTATTTCCTTTTTATTCATCTATTGTCTTGTGTAGGTGAAATTGTCAATAGATGGATAAACATTGTTTTGTATCATTTAGGCAAAATCGCAAGTAGATTTTAACAAACTGTTTATTTCATTCAGGTGGACAAACAAACGATGACTTGACAACTGTTGAACGATATGATATTTCAACAAACGTGTGGTCTATGGTAACTCCCATGTTAACGAAGCGGAGCTGGTTCAATGCTTTTGTGATTGATTCAAATATTTACGCAGTTGGAGGAAGGAACAGGTAGAGTTATTGAAATTTATTACAACATGGTAGGCACTAGGGCAGGGGTTCCCAAGCTTTTCTCAGGACGACCCCAAAGACAACTTTCAAGTGTCTAGTGCGACCCCAGGTCAATATATATTTTTTCCATGTAACTTTAGAGCTCCTTTCACTGAACTTTTGAGTTTGGTCGTGTGGTGGTATTAAGGTAAATAAGCTAAAACATTTAAAGTTTTGATTTTAATTAAAAATACCAAAATTACAAAAAAAAAATGTTTTAAAATTGAAAATTTCTTTTATTGGGAATGGTCACTGTTTAAATTTAATCAATTTCTTTAGTCATATAGAGTCTTCTGTTTTGGAGATTTTGTTCTGAAATACTTATTCCCAAAGAAATATTTGTTCCCCTGTATTCATCACTATAAGTGTTGGGCCAATCTAGTGTCTATATTGTCGATGCTCATATAAATAAACTGAAATCTTTATATTTTTGTAAATATATTCATAACTTTGGATAGATAATCGCTTTTGGTTTGAGCTCTTTGTGCGGATAGAAGAAGCAGTATAATCATATTGCTGACTATGAAGTTTGAATCAGAGTCACCTGCGGTAACCGGTCATTTTTACTTTTTTCGTATCTTGAGTTACTGTAGAATTTAAAAATCTAGTTTCAATGAGTAGCCTAACAACCACTTTACAAACCATTTGTCTTGTAGAAATGAAATAATCTTCTCTATATTTTTCAGTTCACCAGGAAGCATGGAGAAGTTTGATTTCAAGAAGAATCAATGGGAGATGATTGACATGAAGAACAAGAAGCTGAGGATAATCGATGCAGTGAAGATTAATTTGAAGTGATTTGATTGTAGATGACAGAGAACACAGTTCCTTGTGTTACCAATAAAGGACATGCTAGTAGTTTATGTTTGTATTCTTACTATTATGAAATTGTATGATAGATATTTGACATTTAATAGGTGCTCGTGTTACCACTGAGTAAATTTTTTAAACTTCTATAATGATTTCTTGCATTACTTACCGTAAATAATTTATATAGTTTTCTTAAATGTAATTACTCAATGACATTGCCTAAAAAACTTCAACTCACTGGACATAGCTATGTTTACTACTGATGTGAAGAAATTTTTTTAAATGATTTGTTTGTATTAAATACCCTATATTTGTTTGTAGCATTTTTTATGTGAATTCCGATTATGACAGTGTGTAGTCGGACAGAATCGATGCCCATATAAAATACGATTGTTGGTTGATGAACATTTTCACTCCTGCTCTCAGTGACAGGAAAACAGAGTTTATAAATCTTACATTGGCCTTACATTATAGTGGGATTCTATATCCTTGTTATGTGGAATTTGTCACCAATATCATAGGTCATTGGAAGCGAGTGTTATATATAGCCAGTGGCCAGTGAAAATTAAATTGATTTATTAATTTCTATTCAGTTTTTAATGCCATTCGATATTATCTGGGTATGAAATATTGTCGTGTGCATTCTTCAAGCGGTTTCTTCATCAATTGAATTCACTTATCATTTCTTAATCAAAATCCGTGAATGGATTGCAATTCATAAATTGAAGTTTATTTCTGCTTCCAATATATTCGATGATGATTAATTTTTTTTCATCTTTGCTGTATATTTTATCGCATATATGCAATCAATACTTTACTACCATGCATCTAACGCTGAATTCAATTCTTCATTTTTTTTTATCTGATTTTAAAATCCACTGCATGATCCGCCGGTTTGTCTTTTTAATTACAAAGTTTTATTTGATTACGTTTGATGCATTCCAAATGTTTAAACTTTACATTGTGACAAACCTTGATTAAATAAACTAACGAATTAATTAATTTGTCCATTTCTCAAATTCCACGTCAATTTGGAGGATTGCTTTGGTTTCCAGCGAAAATTTGTTTCTTTAGTTTCAAGTGGGAATTTATTGCTGTTGAACCTGGAAAAGACGATTGCACTTTAAAATGTACGTTATTGTGACAAAAAATAAAATTATGTAAATGTAATTACTAATTACATTTCTGAAATTAAAATAAATTTGTAATATTTTTCAATTTTAAATTATATTTCTCCCATTCCATGAGATATGTACACGTGGTAGACGGTTTTATGCCTCGATTTCTATTCAGATGATTGCAAGCTCGCAAATTAAAATAAAATTGTAGCCTAGTGTTTCGAAACTTCACTGAAACTACCAAATAAACTCGGTTTTATAAAAACAAGCAATTGTTTATGACCAAGCTTGAAAATCTGTTCCAATGTAAAATGCGACTGTTCAATTTCAACTATTACATCGCTGTAATCTTATTGATTATAGCTAACGAATTCAATAAAAAGGAAGTCGATCTAGAAAACAAGCTGCCACAATAACATATTCAATTACATACATAATATAGCAGGAATACGGCCTGTAATTAAATGTTCGATCATTTCCTAATCAAATATCGTGAAATGGCTTCTTATGAGAGTTGCCAATGAAATAAATATAATATATGCGATATATACAAGTAATCGCTGTTAATTTGAAAAACCATGCGACTCCTATTTACATGGACAAAGAAGTTCACATACGTCCGCCTTTCGGTTTGTTTACGACTGCATTTTAAAACTAATTTCGTTTACGCCCGCTTTTATTGGCCCATGTCTGAGCAAAGTACTGGCCATCATTGAAATCATATGCAACCATGGCGGAACGGTGTGCGCCAGTAAACAGCTATGAGATACAATTGAAGTTTTGAAAAACTTCTGTCATAAAAATTTCTTTTTATTGGGCTACGCTAAAATACTTCATAATGCAAAGACGTAACAGTGATATTTTACAAATCAAGTGTGAACTCAAGCGACAAATATCGACGAGAACGGTGAAGAGACCGAACTTTCATTGATACGTTCCGAGTCATTGACATAAATAATAAGTCAAAATTTTATCAAAGTATTGTTTGGTTGCCGCATACCTGCCAATAGTGCGCAAACAAAGGTCACCGTCGACCATATTTGCATAAAAATTGGTCAAAAATGAGGTGATCGCACGCTTTTCTTCCACTAGGATAGGATGGGATTGACATATTTATTTTTTTTGGGGGGCGGGAAGCCGATAATAGGGCTTAACCATATGGCGAACCACGCCTCTCCTACGGTTTCTATTCCCTGTCGGGCAGTGGCGTAGCAAGACCCCCCATAACATGTCGCTATTAAAAGGCAGTGGTAACCTAGAATTTGCCGTTTATCTTGGTTACTTTAATTTTGTTCATACGTGCTTCCTCTTCTGCCCTTTTTCTGCGTTTCTGTGCGCCACTAAGAGGTTTTGCTTTCGACATCATTCTGACAGCCTTCGTAATTTTGCCGCCGGTGCGATCAAACCACATGACCTCGAAAATCGACGACTCCCTGACATTGTTACGTAAATAACCGATTTGAGCAGAACTAACATCAACGTTATAAGATGTGCATAACTGGTTTTGCAATGCAGCTTTTGGTTTTGCGGCTTAAATTTCTAATTTCTAACCACTTGGGCCCCTTTGCGCTGTGGGCCCTCCCGCGACCGCGGGGGTGGATGCTACGCCACTGCTGTCGGGTATGGGATTAGTTAGTTATTTGATTTCGGAATTATGGACTTGGTGGTGGAGGAAGCCGTAACCGACCAGCGGTTACGTGAATCACCCAACGACGGCGAGGAGTCCAGCAATCCTCTAATGTTCATAAGTTGGTTTACAGACCCTAGGGTTCATGATATGACACATTATTTAGATAACTTCAACTTGTGACATAGAATACATGCAAAAAACTCGATGGGTCACTCAGGGTTTATAATAATGGGACCCAGACGAAACTACTTTCAACCACAAAAGCTTCGCTAAAAAGACCGCAAGTTTGTCACGTAAGCGCTTGTCGGCAAAGGCTTCCTCCACGACCGAGTCCATGCATAACAGTAATCGTAAGACTGGTAATCGTAATATCACTGATATTATTGAGCCGTTTTAATTAAACGGCTTTCGTCTTCCACGGAAAAAAATATTTGTTACCGTATGGCTATTAAGAGCCAATAACCTCGACTAACCCATGAGCTTTGTCGCACTATAATAAAACTCATACAACTGGTACGAAGCAAACAATATTATATTTTAGGGGAAAATAAATAAATTGCAATAAATATAAAGCTGGCAAAGAGCGTATAAATTATTGTTAAACCAATAGTTAGAAATTATTTCCATACGCACGAACAATTATTTTCCCGTGTGGGATGTATTTTTGATTTGAATTTTTGTAGGATGAAATGCATGAAAAAGTTCTGCTATTTTGTTATTATTATTAATTTATTGTTATTATGACTCATTATATTGGTTGCGCTTTGTTACTTCAAATTGAGACTGCGTCTTATATACGTTACAGACTTACGGTCTCTTTGAAGTTTGTAATACTCGCTTTGTACTCGTACCGGTGTCCGCTTTGTACTTGTACCGGTACCGTACCGGTAACCGCTGGCATTACCCCTTTACCTTTGTGGTGCATTATTTGCATTCTAGCATAGTCCAATGGCAATTGTTCAGTTTGTAGAATTGAATAGGTGCCGTACCGATACCGTAAAAGCAGGTAACTTCGGATGGTTTGTAACTTCGGATGAAATTTTAATCGTTTTTATCTCGACTAAATTGCGTCATATTGTGCTTATGACAGTTTCTATAGTGAGGACTTATATATCTAAATCTGTTATCACATTCAATCGCGCAGTTTAATTTATTTTATGATTGAAAAAATCACGTTTTAGCATAAAATTGACACTGCGGCTCAAATCGTGACTTCTACTGATGCTAACTTCGTCAAGATAGCGTCATTCGATAGAGGGCGTTATCAATGTAGGCTATATAGAAAATTAGACTGATCGCGAGATGTCGTATGAAACCCGATAAAAAATTGAAATTTGAATAATTTTTTTTTATTACAATAATAGCATCTGACGCACACGTTGAACTTGACGTCACCCTAACGTCGCTCACTTCGAGGACGACGTCATGTGACGTCCCTGTTACAGGTTTGACGCCAGACATTCGGGCACCAACGAGTTGGCGTAGATTTGAAAATAACAACGATATTTTGTTCGATTGATCAAAATCGGCAAAATATACGCATCAACCATTTTCTGTGGATCGTAAATTCATGGCGTCAAATGCTGGAAATGTAATTCAATTAAATTTATTAAAAATGGCAATTAATGAAAAGCATATCCATTCGATTTGACGATTTCAAATTTCTCCATTTGGTACGACAACATGGTTCAAAATAGAAAAATTATAAGCAGTCGAGAAATATTGCGTAAATATAAAAATATATAACCAGCGATAAATACCAACAATCATTGTTGCAAGTGAGTTCCGTTTCTTGAATTTAACGAAAGTAATTTAAGATTTATGCACGGCCGACATTTAAATAGGTCAATTTAATAAAGAGTGCTGTCATGTGCATGCTCAATAATATATATTGTGTGACTATACATGGTGTGACTGTGGAGTGTAAAAAACGCTATCAAAACATCATCGGCTATAACTAAATCGACTATGATCGGTGGATATTCGGATCTAAAGTTACGATAAGAGAAAATAAAACGAGACATTTTAGTATAAAAACAACTTGAAAGTCCCGCGCCGGAAATCCTACGGTCGACATTATCATCGTCACTCGCGACATGGATTGAACATCTGGCATTTACGCAACGACGTAAAGTGTGTTTTGTCCTCACGCGCGCACTTTTTGCTCTAGTTGCGGTGACGCAGGGAGGGGATACACCCATCCGAAGTTAGATATTTATTTGCGTCGTTACAGATCACAGAAAATGAGACAATTAAGACAGAAAAAATGATCCGATCATCGAGAAAATTATATGTAGATGCAGAGAATCACATTAATGTAATACTAATATATTTCAAGTTGACGCGAATTGGACAACAAACGGCGGAGTTATTGATTAAAATATAGTGAAATCATCCGAAGTTAGCTGCTTTTACGGTACGTAACCTGTATGTTGTATGTATGTTTCAATCAATCATTTTATTTCGGCTCTCTGACCTAAAACCGAACAACACAAAAAGTACCGAAAACAGACAACAAATACAGAAATACCTGGAAGGCGAGAATAAATTAAAAAACGTACAAATACCCGCCCACCCACCAAGAAATAAAATAATACGAGTATACAAAAAAATATGGACACGATTCAAAATCCCGCAATGCTTATAACTTAATTTAACCCTTTCCGTGCGGTGGGCACGTATACGTACCCACGACAAAAGTCGCTAGATTGCGGCGGGTACGTTGATGTACTCCACTGTTTTATTTAGCAATCGGTCGCAAACTGTTGGTCTAGTTTTTCCGGGTTTTAGTTAATTGATAAGAAGTCTTCTTCGAGATTACCATAAGCGATGGTAAATCTCGCTTTGGTTTACGACGGGAATTTTATTTGCACCGGAACGAGGGAGTGTTTTTGAAATTTATGCAAATTTCGGTGTTTTTTGGGTCATAGTAGAAGATATATTATCCCTTCCGTCTACCAAAGTATTTTGAGTTGGATCACGAAATTGCTACAGAAATAATATTATGCTGTTGTTTGCCAACCACGAAGCGGTAACAGTAAAGGATTTAGCGAATATTTCTATTTTTTATCACGATTTGAAGTTTCAACTCCCAAAAAAAAAAATTTTTCTATCCGGTTTGTGACTCAGACCACCACTTTTAAAAAAACTTTTTTTTTTAATCGCACATAATTCTGTAATTGTTGGAATCCGTGGATAATTTACATGGAGTAAAAAATTGTTGCGCTTGGAATAAAACAGCCTTAATTCAGTTAGATAAAGTTTAATGTAATAGAATCCTAAGGGCTCCTCAGTCTCTGATTTTTGAAAACCTAATCATTATTGCTGTTTTGATTAAGATCTACAGGTTTTAAATCTAACCCAAAATAGCTGAGTAAGTCTAACATTCCAATATCTGCTGTCAACTTCAACCATCTGTTCTACCAGCAAAAAGTCGATCAACAACTATATTTGCTGTCTACCTCAACATCAAATTTTACCAGCAAAAAGTTTAACAACAACAACATGGCTTCATTAAGCAACATCACAAAGCCAAAGCCTAAACAACGTTTAAGTAGGAGTCTGCCAGATCCTGGTTTATCACCAATTGGTCCCTTCACTCAAGATCCTGAGGGATGTGCAAACTTTCAGCTAGTGCTGCAGGAGGCGATTCAAAATAACATCGTAAATCAGCTTCCAAATCTGATAGCGACATGTCTTGCGGATAATTTTAACTCGGCCAACTTCTCCTCCGAATATTTTCCTCTAAGCCCAGGATTGAAAGAGTGTATGCAAGAGCAAATGACATCTCTAAAAGAAATTAAACAAGATATCGCTTCGATCCGAGAATCCCAAAATTTTCAATCCGAGAAATACGATGAGATTTTGGTCAAACAAAAAAAAACAGAAGATATACTCACACAATATGGTAAAAGAATACGAGATCTTGAAGACCTCGTTTATGATCTCGAAGAAGAGCTATTCAATGCCACAGAAAAAATAGAGGAACATGAACGGCGTTCAAGACTAGACAACCTGGAATTTCACGGCATTGCTCCTAAAGTAAATGAGGACACAGACAATCTAGTTATAGAAATTGGCAAGATGATTAATGTCGACATAAAACCTTCTGACATTTCTATTACCCATCGCTGTCCGACTCGCAACTCCAAAATTTACAAGCCCATAGTAGCAAAATTTACTAACCGAAAAATTCGTGCCAAAATCCTAAAGAATCGCCACCTCATTAAAACTTCTGTCAACTCAACATCTATAAGAAACATATCAAAAGTATTTATTGTTGAAAACTTGACTGACAGAAATAAGAACCTGTTCTACCAAGCAAAAGTTCGTAAAAATCAGTGTGGCTATGCTTTCCTATGGACTTCTAATGGAAAAGTGTTGATTAAAAAGAATAAAGACACCAACACCTTGCCCATTGATGATGATGAAGATTTAAATAAAATAAGATAAGTCATATCTTCTTTATAACTCTTTTTTTATTTTTTACATGACATCCATTATTCTTCCATGAACCACCCAAATCACTCTGTAACATGTTTTATTAATACCTGTAGTATGATTTGTGACCCATTTAGCACTTGTAGTGTGACTTATGCCATCCTTTGCTCCATATGCTATGTATTTTACCTGCCTATAACAGTCTCCATGATGGTGTTTGAGATCCCCAGCGCAAAAATTCTAATCGAACAACCTCATCGGTCCAAGAACTAACTTCTAATCACAACTCGCAGTGGGATTCAGAAAGATTTCATCCGCATTTTGCTTCAATCCCATGTCGGTACATTGAAATACCGGATATCAATAAAGTAACATCTAGTTTTCTACCCTCAGATCTCACTATTTTACATTTCAATATTAGATCCTTGGGTAAATATGTTGATGACCTAGCTGAACTAATTACTAATTTTCATTCCCTGCCACAAATTCTTGCGTTGAGCGAAATCAGGATAAAGAGGGACGCCGCTGTTAATAACGTTGACATCCCTGGTTACACCTTTATCCATGCTCCATCCCCAACTCAAGCAGGTGGTGTGGGGTTCTATATTAAAAATGACATGAATTTTCAAATAACGCAAGAATTTGACTTTGTTTTCGAAAACTGTGAGAACATGTGGATCGAATTGAAATGCTCTGAACAAAATCCAAAATTCCAATGCCTTGTTATCGGTGTTATCTACAAGCATCCCCAGCGTAATATTCCATCCTTCACTGGAGCGATGTATTCTGTATTCGAAAAGCTGAAATTAGCCAAAAAGCAATTCATAATTTTGGGTGACTTTAATATAAACCTCCTCAACACCCTCGATACTCCAACCTCCAAATACTTGGATATGCTCATTAAAATCATGCTCATCATCATTTATTATAATTAGTGATCTCACCGATCATTTTCCTATTATGTGTACTTTATCAACAACTAGTGCTCAAGTCCAAACAAAAACATGCATGAAGCGTGACATGGCAAATTTTTCTGCCGACACATTCAGATTGGAAGTTGAGATGATGTGTAGAAATTATGCCAGTGGTATATTATCCAAAGAAAATTTTAATAGTTCATTTGACCTCTTTCTTAGCCATTTTAAGTGGTTGATAAATAAGCACGCACCATTACGCCCTCTGTCACGCAGAGAAAATAAATTGTTATTCCAAGCCCTGGATAACCAGTGGAATTCGCAAGTCCATCAAACACAAAAACGCCATGTTCAGAATAATGTTTCTGAACGGAAACGCATCGCAGCGTCATTACTCAAAAATATAAGAATATTTTAAACACACTTGCTAAGAAAATCGAAACAGCAGTACTACCACAATATTCTAGTCAACAACAGAGGAGACGTCAAACGCACATGGCAAACCATTCAATGAGATTATAAAAATTAAGACCCAAGAGAGGTCCCCACCGTCTCAGAATTAAAATTGGAAAATGGTACTACTGTGACAGACCCCGTCTATGTGGCCACTGAACTCAACAATTCTTCTCTTCTATAGGGAAAAAAACTCGCAGATGAAATCCCACATAGTACAAATCAAATGCTGAATTCCTGGGTGTCCCTTTACAGAACTCTTTTTTCCTTGAGTCAACATCACCTTTAGAAGTTCTCTGTGTAATCAGGGACCTGAAAAAGGGTAAAGCGGTTGGACCGGATGGTATTTTCCTCTTATTTTCTGAAATTAGTTGCTGATATCATATCACCAGCTTTGAGTAATTTCTTCAATTCGTCATTCAATTTAGGTATATTTCCTTCTTCATTAAAACTTGCTAGAGTATACCAATTTTTAAATGCGGGAAAAAAAACAACCCTTCAAATTATAGACCAATCTCTATTTTATCTTCAATTAGCATCATAATGGAAAAGTTGTTGTATACCAGAATGATGAGCTATTGTACTAAATTCAGTTTGATAAACAAATGTCAATTGGATTCCAGACCAAACACTCCACCAGTCATGCTATCCTTGATCTGACATCATTTATATATGAATAAATAGACAAAGGCGAGTATGTTTGTTGTGCCTTCCTAGATCTAAAAAGGCTTTTGATACCGTAGACCACTCCATTCTCATTCACAAGTTAAGACATTACGGTTTTAGGGGTAATGCAGAAAAACTGTTATCCGATTACCTGACAGGCCGGTATCAATTTGTTGAAATAGGTCCCCATAGATCCCCAATGTTACCCATCCACTGCGGAATTGTTCAGGGCTCAGTAGTTGGCCCATTAGCGTTCTTATGTTTCATAAACGACCTTTCCAACAGCTCGAATCTTTTGAGTAAACTATTTGCAGATGATGCATGCTTGCTCACCAGCGCGAAGGATCCGACTACACTTCAGCTAAATATGAACACTGAAATAAATAAAATTTATGAATGGATGTTATGCAACAAGCTAACAGTGAATATAGATAAGTCAAAAGTCATGGTGTTCAGTTCAAAATCTCACACTAGATACCCCAACCTCGCAATTGGAATCAATGGCAGAAATTTAGAAGTAGTCCAGTCTTATAAATATCTAGGACTCAATATCGACCACCAATTAAAGTGGAACACCCACACTGCTGATTTGCATAGAAAACTATCAAGAACGGTAGGGATCCTGGGTAAGCTTAGATATTACTTACAGGATACCACACTAAGAACCATTTACTTCGCACTTTTTCAGGCCCACATTCAGTATGCCATAGCGGCATGGGGTTCTACAGCTAAAGTAAACATGCGTAAATTGGAAGTCTTACAAAATAGGGCCATTAGAATCCTTTCTTGGGCACCTTTACGTTCCAATTTAAACAATCTATATTTATAAGCATAGAGTACTAAAATTACATGACATCTACAAACTAGAAATTTCTAAGATTATGCACCAATTCCAAAACAATCAATTGCCAGCGGCTTTTGACCAGTATTTTCTCACCCTAACTTCAGTGCATAAATATAACACCCGCTCCTCAACAAAGAGTAATTTTTTGTGCCTCGCTTCTCACTAAGCAAATCCCAAAATTCTTTGAAATATCAAGGTGTTTCAATTTGGAACAGTCTACCCAAGACCTACGGGAGTCATCTTACATGACTTTCAAATTTAATTATAAAAAATTCCTGATTTCCTCTTACCAACCCACCTGAATTTTCCAAGTCGCTGTTTCATATTTTATCCTTGCTTTGTGTCCATCAAGGTCATATTCAACTCGATCCACAGCCTGCCTGTAATGAAGAGACCTGTTTATTTGCTGTTAAATGCTTGTTGTATTTTATATATTGCAATGTTACTGTGGAATCATCATAATTCATCCCTATTCTTGTTATACTCTATATTTATTGATGTGTGCAATCTTATAGAATTTTTGAACTGCTTTATTTATTGCCAGTTTTCTTACCTCCAATCTAACTCAGATTTCCGTGGTCATACAGTCACACACAAGTGCCTATTTTTGAGTTAACGCCTGATAAACAACTATCTCTTAATACTACAAGCGTTAACTCGTATTATTGTTATTTATTAAGATATTATTATCAATTATTGGTATTTATTAAGTGCAGCTTTATTTAACTAATATAGCATGATACCGGTACCTTACCGGTACTATAGTGGTTCTCATCATCCTATTTGTATATTTCTAGTGCATTTTGTTGCCTCATGCGCTTTTGTACTGGATCTATCCTATGATTAATAGCTTAGCATTTACCAGAAAAATGCTTACCTTTTACTGCTTTTTTGCCCATTTTTGTCACATTTTCATGTTTACATCTGCCTCCACCTTCGGTAGAGACCTACGATTTTATATTTAAAAATCACTCAAATTCTGAGTGTTACTGAATTCACTTATACTTTCCGGCGGTCTCTACCCTCCTATGCCGTACTTCGGTACGGCGTCAAAATATAACACTATTTCCGCATCGATTGGAATAATTAACTCGACTTTATCTTTCTGTTTGTTATTCAATAACCAACTGCTGTTACCATGGCTACCTCGACCAGTGGTGTCGGGAGTCACATTCTCATATTAAATAGAGTGACACCGTGATATCGGTCACTAAAATGTGTAAAAAGGCCGTCTTCGACTTTATTATTTTATTTATTATTCACGACTTTTGCTAGTATCCTGTTTGACTTTTTTCTCACTATGATTTAATTTTTAGACTCACTCCCCCAGGGTGACGCTGCTCGATAACCTCTTCTGGTTTATCGCGCCTCCCTTCACACTGAAAGTATTGTTTTATATGTGATTCGTAGTTATTTTTGTCTATTGTGTACTTCTGGTATGTGATAAAATAAACTACTGACTGACTGACTAATGATTCAAATGATCATATACGATTATGATAGCTGAGGAATCGCCAAGATTAATTTTGCAGTAAATATATATAAATACAGCTGATCCTGAATGCTGTAAATTCTGGGGCTGGCAGTCTGGGATGTTAATTCGTCTCGTAAAGACTTATATAACAGTATAATGGTACCGGTACCGAATTCTTTAGTGTAGGCAATTTTGCATGCAGAAGAAGAATTTAGAAATTTAAATGAAATTGATATAGACTATAAGTATAATGATAATATTAGTATATTATATTTGTATATTTTGTTTTTCCTTACTACTCTAAAAACAGAAGTACGGTACCAAGTATTTAATTAAATTGAAATTTGGAAAGTACCCGTACTGAATGTTATTACTATAGCACGATCAGAAGATTGACAAAAGATAGAATTTACATATTTATTTCGGGGTAGAGGAATGCCGATTGCAAGCTACAGCTTCTCGTCCAGTTACAGAGTTACCAGTTCATGTTGGGTACCGGTATGGAATTGATTAGTCGGTTTGTTTCAAATGCGTGGACTGGGTGAAGGAGGCAGTGAACCAGAGTTATGTGAACCACCCTATTTTGACCAAATTATTTATTCGCAATCGCTTGTTCAAATTTCACTGAATTTGACAAATTTTCAAAGTACAGAATTAAAAGATATTTAATCTTCTTTACTAAGCTATCAGCTTTTATTCCTGCATAGAAAATACTTTTTCAAATTCGGACCATTAATTCTACTTAAAATTGTCTGGGGAATTATTACTGATTCCCAGACAGATTAAGGTATTGAATATGGTTTAGTTTAATTCTACCTCAGCAAGTTATGACGATTATTGAGGCATGACTGGCCAGAATATTCTCATCTCAATTTATGAGCGATTGTGCTGCTAGCTTTTTGTTTTTTTCATGTTAGGTCAAGTCATGGTAAAGTTGACCAATACTGAATAAGTCCTCAATCCTTATTCTAACACAGTAACATAGAAATTCACCTCTGTGCAAAACTTTTTGTCTTTTTCCAACCTGTGGGTCTGTGTCGACTGTTTTGAGTTTTGTTTACGGTCTTTGTCATAAACTGGGTTGTTGAATATCATCTTGTGTCACTGGTTTTTTCAACAAAAACTTGGTAAAAATTCCCGATTTCATTGCCAGTAGATTTTATTGTTTATTTTATATCAAGTATTAGAGTGTTGCTCATTAGTAACTGTTTATGTGGTATCATAGCATAAAAACTTGGCAGTATCTGTTTTGCTTAAGTGAAGCCACGACACGATTTTAAAAACTCGCTGATTACAATCAGGCACATTATTATCTTTTGTACTAAGGAGACTTCGGTGCTCCAGAGGTATGTGTACCAATATGGAAGTAACTAGTTTTGCTTGCTCACTTTACATTAAGTTGTGTAAAGAGACTGAAGCCTATGGGCAAGGGTATATTCACTTGGCTAATACTGACGGTACCGAACTCGTAATAGAACAAAAATAAGGAAATTTGGAATAAAAATATGGCCTACCCTAACCTGGTACACATACTACGGAAGTACCGGAATTTCTAGGTAAAAAAAGACGTTCAAAAATAATTGTTTCACATAGTCTTTCAATTTTGCGACTGAAAAACACTACATTGCGCTTCTATGTGAGCATATCCTTGGGTCGTGAAATATCACAAAATTTATTTTTTAAAAAAATTGAGGTGGTTTGAAAAAAGGTTAGGAAACTCTGTATTAGAGCATGCTCACAATATATTGATTTTCTCATGGGATTGTAGGCAAAAACTCGGTATGTTTTGCTGAGAATGGGTCAAATTAATGTAAGCAGGTTTCATTTCTTGGTGTCTTCGCGACTCATATTTATCCATTTCACTGTTGTTTATGAAATCTCTCATTATTACTTTACCTCCATATTGTGACTCCACTTATACTTGGGGTTAAAAATTTGCTGCGACACAGATTTGAGTTTAAATTTTGAATGACCCGTAGCTCGACTTCAGACTCCGTATTTAGAGACTTCTACTCAACACTGTTATTTACATGGGAATGGGAATCATTGAAGCATGACTGGTCAGAATAATCCTAATACTAATGTCAAAGTGCTGTTGCTGCTAGTTTCTAGTTTATTAGGCTTTTGGTCAAGTGAAGTTTATTTGAGCCAAGGTTTTTATGGTTTTACAGGTAAAATGTTTGTTCCAAGTATGATGCAAATATAACTTACGCCTGTTTTCTATTTTTCAGAATCTAGTCTTTAAAATGTGATAATGCTAGCTTTGGTGAAATTTCGTATTCTCAATTTCATTGCTGCAAGTTTCTTTATTTTGTCAGCATTTGTACAATACAATGACCCAGATCCTGAGCTATGGATTGGAATCCATCTGGCTCCTGCTATCATTTCTGGATTAATTGGTTTTAAGCCGTCGCTATCTGAATCAAAATTCATAAAAGTTTTTAACTTTTGATATATTATCTTTGGAACTATTTTATCTGCGTATTTGTTTCATCATAACTATCAGGATAATTTCATCCACTGGGTGGTGCATGATGAAGTGGGGAGGGAGTTTGGCGGACTTGTTATTGTTATATTTTGGATTATTTTTATGCACGAAACATCACATTTATCTGTGAAGAATTGGTTATCGTCGGTTTTTATATGGATTCTGATTGCAATGTGGATTTATGTTATAACAATCAGGAATATCGTGAACTTTGGCCTCAACATTGCCAGACTGCTCTTTATCCAGAAAGTTATCCACCTTGAGAAGAAAGCTGATAAGAAAATTTGACAATTTTTGTTATAAAAAAATTTCTTCAAGTAAGGTCATACACATGAAGTCAAAAGCAAAAGAGGTCTATTTAGATAAGTTACAGGCGACCAAAGAAGTGTTAAGATCTGTTGACATGGTAAAGATTATGCGATAAGATTATATTGATTAACTAGGTTTTAGTGAATCCCGAATGACACAAGGCTTGAAGGAGCTCAATATAACTAGAAAAACAGTTGATAAATTGGAATGTACTAATACCGACATCCGACAGGTTACCATAAATCTGCCACTACTTTAGATAATATATTCAAATGTCCTATGAACCAGCATGGTTCCAAAAGCAGGGTCTGAAAAGTCAGTAAATCATAATGAAGCATTTGATTGAACATTTTACTTCTTGATTTTTAGGATAGAATAAGATTTACATATTTTTTCACTTATGAAAGTCAATAATATGGCTCAATCATATGGACCAGAGCGTCTAGTCTAGTTACCAGTCCATGTCGGGTGTGGGATTAGTTAGCCAGTTATTCATTTTCAGATGCATGAACTTGACGGTGGATGACCACACACCCTACGGGCGTGAGGAGTCCGGCAATTCTCTCGCACACTATTATCCCTCACAGAGGATTCGAACCTGCGCACTTGCGCAAGGTAATCAAAGGTGCGGTGGCGGGCATATTCCCAATATTAAGCCTGATGCGATACATTGTCCTGTTCTCTTTTAATTTAATTTTATGACAAAAGGTAAGACTTTAGTTTGGGAGAAATTAGCTATACATTTTAAATTGTATTCTGAACACCTATGACAAATTCTACATGGCTATTTATAACTGTTTTATTCCTGTCATATTTAGCTTTGAATTACAGAGTCAATAGTTAGAAATATCAGTAAAATGCCTCTCGAAATTAAAGTGAAGACTAATGGACATGCAAATAGGATTTTACAAGACTTGAACAGGTGAGTGTGAGACAGGGATATCTAAAATGATGGGGTTAAAGCCCAACTCGGCAAACTACGTGACGCGGTCCGAAACCGTCCTGTTTGGTAATTCAATCTGGCCTGCCTGATGCTGCCACAATCAAACTAAATCCAAACAAACAAATTTCGTTGTTTCAGCTAAAAAAAAGCTCAAGGTTTCGGGGTTGTATTGCCATTCTTTGGGAGAAATTCTGCCATGTATTTCATGCCTGTAGTTTTACTAATATTCTTCAGTTCTTTATTATTACTGAAATATGTATTATGTATGTAAATCGGGAGTGCGACATGGTCCTGACCAGGGATGGCCATTTCCGAATACTAAACTATTCCGAATACATTCTAAAATGATGTTTTCGAATCTGGAATACAGAATACATTCTAAAATCGAAAATAACACAGATAATTCATTCATGTATTCAGATAATTGTGTGTATTTTCTGAGAGTAATAAAATTTATTGGCAATGCAGGCAACAACAATCTAAAATTCATTATGTCTTTAAAAATTCTCACATTTAAGCCTAGAGTATTCTACTACCTACCAGTATATTTGTATATTAATATATGTGAACCGTATTGTTATTATGTGTAACATATTGTTGTGTTTGAAATTAGAAATAAATTAGTAGAGGATAGATGACCACCACTGCCTGAAATTCCCATTGCCGCCTGTAACACCCACCGCGATTCCGCGCTCGTTAAAAGAGCCGTCATTCCAGCGAATAATATTCAATCCATGACAACTACGATATTCTAAAATATCTTTATATATTAATTTAATGTGTCCAACGTGACTCGCGGTTGCTTCTTCTTACCTCAAAAAAAAACATTACTATTCGGTCCACGGCGATCTGTGACCTAAAATTACGAGATAAACTGCCAGATGTATTTAATTTTATTAATACGTATTTTTGCAATCTTGCCAACTCGTTATTGCCGTTACAAAAATCTCAAATAATGATATAAAATCCTGTTAAGTGTAGAGTATAATTCATTTCATACAATAAATATACATATAAAGTTTAGCAGTTAAATAAAAATAGATATCGCCGCGATTATGCCACCTGTTAAAAGAGTCGACTTTTACAACAAACAATACAAAAACGAATATATTTTTTTCTGTTGTGCAAAGTGATGAATTCGTGAC